TCAAAGGTACACACTTAAAACAAGTTGCTTGTACTGACTGTAGATGTCTGTTGCCCCTAGTAACCACTTGCTGATTTCTGTACTGCATTAACTCCAAAGACATGCTGATAGTTTAGCTTCTGTCTAAACTGGCCGTAGTATGTGTGAATGTGGCACAGTGTTAAAGCTATCCCTCCAGCCTGGGGCAGCTTTTAAACTGACTAGCAGTAGGCAACGTGCCTACATATTAGTGAGATCATCCACTGCTTAGAAGATATTACTATATTTTAGTCCCCTGTAGGCCTGTCACTATTGAAGCATGCTGCTCTTATCCTCCTGTTTCCCCATGGTGTGCTATGTGCACCAACTTTTAAACTCTTGAATTCTATTTAACGCTATATTTTACTGTGACAAAGTGTATATTAACACCTTGACCCTGATTTACTAAGAATTGAGTCTACCCGCAGACGCTGAACATTCTGGCAGACTCAATTCAATCAATCAAGCCTGTCAGTCTTTAGAAAGGTGTCTAGCCAACTCCTTGAAAAGCATCTACTTTGTAGACCCTTTTCCTGTTTGGTTAGTCCAGAATCGCGTCTGGCACATTTCTAGATGCAATGCCGTATATGTTCTCTAGGTGGCGCACAACCGCAGGATTTATCCCATTGGTGTTTTTCTGTTTGCATATGAGAATACTTGTAATGTAAAATAAAGTACACCTAATATTTTTTTTTATTTTTTGGGTTGCTGTTTCTCTCAAATGATCAGACAACTAATGCATTTCCTAATGAATGTCATACATTCTATTTTCAAATGTCAAACATTTTCACACTTATATCTCAAATATTTGGGAATATCTAGTTCCAAATTCCCAATATGATTTATCTTCCTTCTTTAATCATGTAACTACTCTATGTTAAAGTAATAGTGCAGTGCTATAAATGCATGTTAACAATCATAAACGCATGTAAAGTCAACAAAGTGCAAATAAGTGCAATAATCATTCCTGAATAATGGAATGTCCTTCGTGTCTGAGTACAAACTCAGAGTGCCTATGAATGGCATGTGTGGTTTATCCGTGATGAACAGTAGTGCATGAACTCGTGAAAGGTAATCCACCCTTGGGACAGGTGTACACTCACCAGAAAAGTATTAATGTGCATGGGTTAGACACATCTGGGGGTGCAGCGGTATGCTGGCAGCTATGGGCTAGTAATCCAGCTCCATCCATTCATCAGGGTGGGTGCCAAAATTGGTCCTGGGGAGGAATTAGCTCAGCCACAGGAGCCAGAAAGGTGCTCAGTACTGTAGTACTTTATTATAATGGTCACATGTAACAATTTAAAATATATCCACGGAGTAATTAAAATAATGGCAAAGTGAGTATCAAGATGGTGGACGCTCCTCAATGGCGGTGGCGTCAGCAACAGGGCTCCACCCAATGCATTTCGTGTTCCAAGACTTCCTCAGGGGCACACCAATAGGACGTGTTGGTACACGAAACGCATTGGGTGGAGCCCTATTGCTGACGCTACGCCACCATTGAGGAGTGGCCGCCATCTTGGTACTCACTTTGCTATTTTTATTACTCCACATGGATATTTTAAATTGTTACTCGTGACCATTATAATAAAGTACTACACTATTAAGCACCTTTTCTGGCTCCTGTGGCTGAGCTAATTCCTCCCTAGGACCATTTTGGCACCCACCCTGATGAATGGATGGAGCTGGATGACTATCCCATAGCTGCCAGCATACCGCTGCACCCCCAGATGTGTGATGTGTATAACCCATGCGCATTAATACTTTTGTTCTGGTGAGTGTACACCCGTCCCAAGGGTGGATTACCTTTCACGAGTTCATGCACTACTGTTCGCCTTGGATAAACCACACGTGCCCTTCATAGGCACTCTCTGAGTTCGTACTCACACGAAGGACATTCCATTATTCAGGAATGAAACTTTTTTTTTTTTTTTTTTTTTTTACCAGTTTATATCATTATTGCACTTATTTGCACTTTGACTTTACATGCGTTTAATAACATGCATTTATAGCGCTGCACTATTTAACATATTTCTATTCTGGGACTGTTGCCAATACCCTGAGTGCTAGCTGCTACCTTCATATCTATACCTATATTTATCTTGTGTAATACCATTTTAGTAGTCTATATAATTTTGCCAGTGCTCGCTTTATCATTAATTTTTAAACAATGTAACTATTCTACATTCCAGCTCAAACGCTGTCTCCTACAGTGGCTTAGTGGTTGGAACTCAACTTACAGCACGAGGGTCATGGGTTCTAATCCCAGTCATGGCTGTACCTGTCTGCATCCCAGTTTGTATACTTTCTCTGCACAGGTGTGTTTCTGCCAACACTCCAAAGACATGTTGGGTTAATTGGGCCTAGTATATGTCTGAGTTTCTGGTTGTAAGCTCCTTGACATTTGTGAATCTCCCAAATATGGAGATCAATTTCCAGGGTTCTGTCAGTGACAGGAATATTGATCAATCAATCAAGATTTTGGCTACTGACTAGAAAGTGGAAAGGGAGTGAATCTTACCTGTGTCCTGTACTTCTGACAAGTTTGAAACTTTCAATTTTCCTTCTGTTTATATTTCATTACAAATTTTGTTTATCTTCTCTAAGGCTACGTTCACACTAGCTTTGTCAGCAGGCATCAGACTGGCATTTGGGAAGCATTTTTCATGCTTCTCAAACGCCTTTGAAAATTCTGCACATGGCAGCACACAGTGCTGTTCACACTGAAGCGTTAGCATTGCGTCACGGCAAAATTGGCGCCTCATGTTGAGTCAGGAGGCGTTGAAGACTCCCATTCAAGTCTATGGTGCCGTTCCTCAAATGCCTGGCAGACGTTTGCGGTGTGGTTGTGAGGCGTTTTCGGAGCGTTAATACCATTTAACTTCATTACAGGCATTTGTGGTGCAGTTTTAACGCTTGGCTTATCACATGTCTCAAAACCGCACATAGGGCGGTTGAGGAGCATTAAAAACGCTTCCCAAACACCTGTCAAACGCTATAGGGCAGTTTTGCAAGAGTTAGAAATAAAGTAAAGTGTGAACGAGCCCTTTAAACCTCTCTTCTTATACAACTTGACCCCCTCCCCCACCCCTGTCATCACCTGTTCCATCTGCAAATCTATGTATTACCGCCCCACTCTTTTTATTTAACTATTTACTGATCAACTTAATGTGTCAATTCCTATCACCTACAGCTCAGATCTCAGATCTCGCATTATTATGATTCCTGATTGTATCTCACCAGTAGTCTGAATTCCTGGTCAGTCCCATTCCCTTACCTAATAATAACCTTTAGGGCCAGTTCACACTACATGTGTTTTCAGTTGCTTTTTTTGCATCCAAAATGCACAGAAAAGTTATATGGTTGTCAATGTCATAGTTCACATCAGTTCCAGTGCATTGCAGGTGCTGCCAAAAAAGTCAAAAAGGCTGCATTGTTTGTGCATAGAACTGTACTGGAACGCGGTAAAATGCAGATGTCCCTAATTAATCTCGAGAGGGGGAAAAAAAATATTAACTGGAATGCATAAAATGCACTGGAGCACACAAACTCATCCCAAATGCACTGGAACATGCATTAAAAAAGTGAATGCAAAAAACGCTTTTGAAACACATCTAGACCGTGTTTCTATACTGTGAACTGGCCCTTAGGACTTGTTCACACCATTTGTGGTGCAGAAATGCATGCAAGAGCACATTTGTTCCAGCACAGCACAGCAAAGAAATGCAATGCCCTCTGCAGATGTGCGCAGGTACCATGATAACTTAATTGCATCTCCACACGTCTAGTAAACAGATGCATTCACAGCCACCAAAATGCATGGCACCACACTACTGTGCGGTTAGGTGCAACACACTTTTACAATAATATGCCTGCAGTATTTTTGCACGTTCCCACGCATTAGGCAGCCCATTAAAATTAATGAGCTGAGGGAAAAAAAGTAAAATATGCCCCTTTTCACACAAGTCCTCTGGCCTATACAGCATGAATGAGGGGGTTGTTCATGTGGCTGGAGCCACCTGTTACACTATGGGGACACAGCAGCTGTATGAACACAGGTTTTAATCTGACAGGTGTGAAGGCGTGGGGAAGTGACCCTGAATGCTCACTGTCTGTGTTCAGGGCTGTACACCTGCACCCATATGCTTGTCAAATTATGACCTGCAGCATTTCCATAGTGTAACATAGGTTGCCCGCAAATAGCGACAGCCACAAAAACAAACCACTGATTCACTCTACAGGTCACAGCACCCATGTGAATGAGCCCCAAGACCTCAATTGCACACACACCTTTATTTATGAACTCAGTACAGTTTTTTATCATTTAGATTTCACAGGAATTTGGTTGGGATTGTGTCAATTAATGTTTTTTAGTGTATTTTTACCTTAAATATAATTTGGATATTTTCTCTGGTGGTGGGGGGCTGTCAGATATCATGGGGCTCCATACAGCATACCTAACAGTGGCCCTGGGTGTATGCTTGTGTCTGTGCCACCTGTATAGTTAGGAAGAACAATAAATTCTTCTATGGAATACCTTGAACCTCTGCTATGTACCTCAATGGATCTAAGAATTGGACATGTTTTCAACTGAAAATACAATTATTAGTAATGTTTCCCCGACAAATGAGGATCAGCTCCTTGGTGGAGAACAGCAATCTCGTCATGTCCAGATGTCTGGAATTCCACAAAAGAACAATTTACAAAGCTAAAAATAGACTTGCAAATTACCACTAAAGTCTCTTAACTACACTCCCCACTACCACTTCCGGGTGTGTGCAAACATCATGACTTATTTCCGGTATGACAGCTGCTCTAGCGCCTCCTCCAACAGCCGTCTTGGCCCCGTCGCTCCGCCTGAGGGCCCGAGACCTGTAGCCCCGCCTGGGGGTCCGGTGACTCCGGGCAGAGGCACACCGGGCTGGACTCCGGGCAGAGGCACACCGGGCTGGACTCCGGGCAGAGGCACATTGAGGCCTGTCGCCCCGCCCGGGGGCCCGGTGCCTGTCGCCCCGCCTGGGGGCCCGGTGCCTGTCGCCCCGCCCGGGGGCCCGGTGCCTGCCGCTTCTCCTGGTAGCCCGATGTGCCTCTGCCCGGAGTCCTGCCCGGTGTGCCTCTGCCCGGAGTCCAGCCCGGTGTTATCTGTGGGTGGTTGGTTTGGTTGCACTGTATTATGTTTTTAGTATTGCACTGCGTTTATGTTTGTATTGTTAGTGTTAATAAATTATATTGTTTATAACATATCTGAGGTCTGCGTTTCCCTGCGTCAGCCACACACCTCTGGTCACACCTGGGAGCCCTGACATTACACCAAGGCCAATCCTGACCAGAAGTGGCTGCACAGGGAAGCCATCTTGGCTTGTTGCTGGGAAGGATGCCTCTGGAGTCCAGCCCGGAGTGCCTCTGCCCGGAGTCCAGCCCGATGTGCCTCTGCCCGGTGTGCCTCTGCCCGGAGTTCAGCCCGGTGTGCCTCTGCCCGGTGTGCCTCTGCCCGGAGTCCTGCCCGGTGTGCCAGTCTTTGATATCCCGCCAGTTACCAGACCCGGGCGGGTGGAACATTTTTCCCAGCTAGGACTGTTTGGAGCGTCCTGAGGCCGCTCCTTGAGGGGGGGGGGGGTACTGTCAGGAATGGACTGGCCAGCAATGGTGGGACTCACCTGCCTTTTGATCTGCAGTACCAGGGCTGGCCAGCGGATGCTCCCAGCAATCAGAGACTCAACTTTGCAGCCAGCTAACACCTGGAACTGATTATGCTGGGGTATTTAAGGGATGGCCAGACCCACAGACTCTGCCTTGGTGTTGTGTTTGTCCTGGGCCCTGTATCCTGTTTCTGTCCTGCATCCTGTTTCTGAACCGCTGCTGACTTCTCCTGCTCTGATCCCGGCTCGCTCCTGACCATCCCTCTGCCTGACCCTCTGTACCACGCTGCTTGCTACCTGTTCTGATCCCTGGCTTGTGACCCTGACCATCCCTCTGCCTGACCCTCTGTACTACGCTGCTTGCTACCTGCTGAACCTGGCCTGTGACCCCGACCAATCTCCGCTTGCTCCCCCTGTACCTACCTGCCCTATTGATATTGACCCGGCCTGCCTGACGACGCTTGCTTGTATGTACTGTTATCTGTGGGTGGTTGGTTTGGTTTGGTTGCACTGTATTATGTTTTAGTATTGCACTGCGTTTATGTTTGTATTGTTAGTGTTAATAAATTTATATTGTTTATAACATATCTGAGGTCTGCGTTTCCCTGCGTCAGCCACACACCTCTGGTCACACCTGGGAGCCCTGACACCCAGCTTCACCCTGCACAAAGATTTTCCAGCTAATGGACCACAATCTGTGTACCTGCAGCCTGGGAGCAATTGTTACTGGGTCAGGTTAATTACGCAATTAACCCTTCACACTGCCACCACCTCCTTTTTGTACAGAGAAAGAGGAAACTCTGCAATATTAGCAATACACTATGTTTTGAATAATCATTTGTATACACAATGTCACCACAGACAGAGGTATGCAGACGTTTAAAACACACAGTAGCTCTCTTCAGAGCCAGGGATTCTTAGTTTGCATTAAAGAGCTTTAGAAACAGTTCAACACTTAAAGTAAGATTTATTACTAAATGGTCAAAAATAGAGATGAGCGAAGTATTCAAAAATTCGATTCGACTGATTCGGCGAATTCGTAGAAAAATTTCGATTCGAGTCGAATATATTCGCTGTGAATTTAACTTAAAAAAGGGTGTTTCTAGGCTTCAGAGAGACTTAATATTAGTGCTGAACACTGTACCTTTAATTTAAATGCCCTTGGAGTCTGCTGGGGAAGAGAAATAATACTGTCAGGCAGTATGACATGCAGATGAGTGCCGTCGATCTTAGAATCACCGCACACTTCACTCATTTGGCCAGTCACGGGGCCAAAACCAGAGTGTGGAGCCACAGTGTGGCGGTGGAGGCAGCAGCAATGGGAGGCCATACAGCACCCTATGACAAAAATGGAAACCACCAGCAGTGTGAGGAGACCTGAAAGTGGCACATGGCAGAGTGTGGCGATAGAGACAGCAGCAATGGGAGGCCGTACAGGGACCCATGACACACTCTGGACCTGGCAGCAGCATGAGGAGGCGGTACGGGGGCCCATGGCAGATTACAGGCCTGGCAGCAGCAATGGGAGGCCGTACAGGGACCCATGACACAATCTGGACGTGGCAGCAGCATGGGGAGGCGGTACAGGGGCCCATGACAGATTACGGGCCTGGCAGCAGCATTTGGAGTCGGTACGGGGGCCCATGACACACTCTGGACCTGGCAGCAGCATGAGGAGGCGGTACAGGGGCGCATGACAGATTACGAGCCTGGCAGCAGCAACTTGGACAGGAGGACGTTCAGTTTCTGCACCGTCTGGTGCGTGCTCGCAAACTGTTGTCTCTTGGAAACGGATTCCAAGAAAGACTGCTGACGGAATCCGTGAAGAGGAGTAGCAGGAGAAGGAGCATCTGAACGAGCGGAATATGCCAACAAGCGACAACAGGGGCCCATGGCAGATTAGGGGCCTGGCAGCAGCTATGGGAGGCCCGTAATCTGCCAGCACCCTATGACAAAAAATGGGAACCCACCAGCAGTGTGAGGAGACCTGAAAGTGGCACATGGCAGAGTGTGGCGATGGAGACAGCAGCAATGGGAGGCCGTACAGGGACCCATGACACACTCTGGACCTGGCAGCAGCATGAGGAGGCGGTATATAGGGGCCTATGGCAGATTAGGGGCCTGGCAGCAGCTATGGGAGGCCCGTAATCTGCCAGCACCCTATGTCAAAAAATTCTACACACCAGCAGTGTGTGAGACCTGAAAGTGGCACATGGCAGAGTGTGGCGATGGAGACAGCAGCAATGGGAGGCCGTACAGGGACCCATGAGAGACTCTGGACTTGGCAGCAGCATGAGGAGGCGGTATAGGGGCCCATGGCAGATTAGGGGCCTGGCAGCAGCTATGGGAGGCCCGTAATCTGCCAGCACCCTATGACAAAAAATGGAACACACCAGCAGTGTGAGGAGACCTGAAAGTGGCACATGTTTGGGGCATGATTCATGGCGGATTTAGTCAGTTGTGTCAGGAACTGGTGGTTTGAAATCCAGACTAATCCACGCCTGATTCATTTTCACAAACGTCAGTCTCTCCACACTTTGGGTGGACAGTCGTGTCCTCCGGAGTTGCAATACCTCCTGCCGCACTAAACACGCGCTCCGATGCCACGCTACTGGCCGGGGCATGACAGCCTTTCAAGGGCAAATTCAGCTAGTTGGGGCCAAAGGTCAAGTTTCGTTGCCCAGTAGTCAAGGGGATTGTCTACCTCGGTTGGCAGGGTGCTGTCCAAGTAGGCCTAAGCCTGTTGTTTGAGGTCCTGCTCCAGGTCCACCTGATGCTGCTGCTGCTGCTGCTGCTGCTGTGGCTGGTTAGTAGTTTCCTCACTGCGCTGGTGAAGAAAGCTACTCATCATCGACTGCAGACTGAGGCAGCCGCTGCTGGTGGAGCTGCCACTGCTCCTACCACCCCACCCCTCCCCGCTGCCATGGCAGCGGAACGCGAGCGCACAGGGCCCACAGTGTCTGAGGATGGACGTTGGCGCAGACAGGCAGAGACCAGCTGACTACATAGGTGGTTTTTATAGTACGTTATTTTGGCCTCCCTCTCAGCAGGTGTGAAAAAGGCCACCATTTTTGAACGGTAGCGAGGGTCCAACAAGGTGGACAGCCAAAAGTCATCCCTCTGTCTGATGGTTATTATTCGGCTGTCGCTACGCAAGCAAGCGAGCATGCTATGGGCCATTTGTGCCAAGGAATGCGAGGGACTCCCTGCCTCCATCTCCACAGCATACTGCCACGGTGCGTCTGGGTCCTCTGTCTCCTCCTCCTCCTCCTCCTCTACCAGATGCTCCTGCTCCTCCACTCCTGTCCGCTGAGTGGAAAAACCACCCATTTCACTCAATAATTCCTGAGCACCAATGTCGTCCTCCTACCTCCTCCTCTTCTTCCTGTCCTGCCCCCACAGGGGTCATGTGGCGTTGAGATCTGTGCGCCACGTCTACCGCACCCTGACCAGCCATTGTTAACAGCATTTGTTCCAGGACGTGCAACAGAGGAATGACGTCGTTCATCCCATAGTCCTGCCGACTCACGAATAGCGTGGCCTCCTCAAAGGGCCTGAGCAAGCGCAGGTGTCACGCATGAGCTGCCAATGGCTGACATCTAAGTTACACAGGGAGTACCTTTATCCGCTTTTAACATCAGGAAATCGGTGATGGCCTTTCGCTGTTCGTAAAGGCGGTCTAACATATGTAGGGTTGAATTCCACCTTGTTGCAACGTCGCAGCATGAGGAGTCGGTACGGGGGCCCATGGCAGATTACGTGCCTGGCAGCAGCAATGGGAGGCCCGTAATCTGCCAGCACCCTATGTCAAAAAATTCAACACACCAGCAGTGTGAGGAGACCTGAAAGTGGCACATGGCATGGGATGGAGACACTGTGGACCTGGCAGCACCTGGCAGCAACATGAGGAGGCGGTATATAGGGGCCCATGGCAGATTAGGGGCCTGGCAGCAGCTATGGGAGGCCCATAATCTGCCAGCACCCTATGTCAAAAAATTCTACACACCAGCAGTGTGTGAGGAGACCTGAAAGTGGCACATGGCAGAGTGTGGCGATGGAGACAGCAGCAATGGGAGGCCGTACAGGGACCCATGAGAGACTCTGGACCAGGCAGCAGCATGAGGAAGCGGTATATAGGGGCCTATGGCAGATTAGGGGCCTGGCAGCAGCTATGGGAGGCCCATAATCTGCCAGCACCCTATGTCAAAAAATTCTACACACCAGCAGTGTGTGAGGAGACCTGAAAGTGGCACATGGCATGAGACACTGTGGACCTGGCAGCAGCATGAGGAGGCGGTATATAGGGGCCCATGGCAGATTAGGGGCCTGGCAGCAGCTATGGGAGGCCCATAATCTGCCAGCACCCTATGTCAAAAAATTCTACACACCAGCAGTGTGTGAGGAGACCTGAAAGTGGCACATGGCAGAGTGTGGCGATGGAGACAGCAGCAATGGGAGGCCGTACAGGGACCCATGAGAGACTCTGGACCTGGCAGCAGCATGAGGAAGCGGTATATAGGGGCCTATGGCAGATTAGGGGCCTGGCAGCAGCTATGGGAGGCCCATAATCTGCCAGCACCCTATGTCAAAAAAATTCAACACACCAGCAGTGTGAGGAGACCTGAAAGTGGCACATGGCAGAGTGTGGCGATGGAGACAGCAGCAATGGGAGGCCGTACAGGGACCCATGACAGACTCTGGACCTGGCAGCAGCATGAGGAAGCGGTATATAGGGGCCTATATGGCAGATTAGGGGCCTGGCAGCAGCTATAGGAGGCCCATAATCTGCCAGCACCCTATGTCAAAAAATTCAACACACCAGCAGTGTGAGGAGACCTGAAAGTGGCACATGGCATGAGACACTGTGGACCTACAGGGGCAGCAGCATGAGAGGCGGTATATAGGGGCCCATGGCAGATTAGGGGCCTGGCAGCAGCTATGGGAGGCCCATAATCTGCCAGCACCCTATGTCAAAAAATTCTACACACCAGCAGTGTGTGAGGAGACCTGAAAGTGGCACATGGCAGAGTGTGGCGATGGAGACAGCAGCAATGGGAGGCCGTACAGGGACCCATGAGAGACTCTGGACCTGGCAGCAGCATGAGGAAGCGGTATATAGGGGCCTATGGCAGATTAGGGGCCTGGCAGCAGCTATAGGAGGCCCATAATCTGCCAGCACCCTATGTCAAAAAATTCAACACACCAGCAGTGTGTGAGGAGACCTCAAAGTGGCACATGTTTGAGGCATGATTCATGGTGGATTTAGTCAGTTGTGTCAGGAACTGGTGGTTTGAGATCCAGACTAATCCACGCCTGATTCATTTTCACAAACGTGAGTCTCTCCACACTTTGGGTGGACAGTCGTGTCCTCTGCGGAGTTACAATACCTCCTGCCGCACTAAACACGCGCTCCGATGCCACGCTACTGGCCGGGCATGACAGCCTTTCAAGGGCAAATTCAACTAGTTGGGGCCAAAGGTCAAGTTTCGTTGCCCATTAGTCAAGGGGATTGTCTACCTCGGTTGGCAGGGTGCTGTCCAAGTAGGCCCAAGCCTGTTGTTTGAGGTCCTGCTCCAGGTCCACCTGATGCTGCTGCTGCGGCTGGTTAGTAGTTTCCTCACTGCGCTGGTGAAGAAAGCTACTCATCATCGACTGCAGACTGAGGCAGCCGCTGCTGGTGGAGCTGCCACTGCTCCTCCTACCACCCCACCCCTCCCCTGCTGCCATGGCAGCGGAACGCGAGCGCACAGGGCCCACAGTGTCTGAGGATGGACGTTGGCGCACAAAGGCAGAGACCAACTGACTACATAGGTGGTTTTTATAGTACGTTATTTTGGCCTCCCTCTCAGCAGGTGTGAAAAAGGCCACCATTTTGGAACGGTAGCGAGGGTCCAACAAGGTGGACAGCCAAAAGTCATCCCTCTGTCTGATGGTTATTATTCGGCTGTCGCTACGCAAGCAACCGAGCATGCTATGGGCCATTTGTGCCAAGGAATGCGAGGGACTCCCTGCCTCCATCTCCACAGCATACTGCCACGGTGCGTCTGGGTCCTCTGTCTCCTCCTCCTCCTCCTCTACCAGATGCTCCTGCTCCTCCACTCCTGTCCGCTGAGTGGAAAAACCACCCATTTCACTCAATAATTCCTGAGCACAAATGTCCTCCTCTACCTCCTCCTCTTCTTCCTGCCCTGCCCCCACAGGGGTCATGTGGCGTTGAGATCTGTGCGCCACGTCTACCGCACCCTGACCAGCCATTGTTAACAGCATTTGTTCAAGGACGTGCAACAGAGGAATGACGTCGTTCATCCCATAGTCCTGCCGACTCACGAATAGCGTGGCCTCCTCAAAGGGCCTGAGCAAGCGGCAGGTGTCACGCATGAGCTGCCAATGGCTGACATCGAAGTTACACAGGGGAGTACCTTTATCCGCTTGTAACATCAGGAAATCGGTGATGGCCTTTCGCTGTTCGTAAAGGCGGTCTAACATGTGTAGGGTTGAATTCCACCTTGTTGCAACGTCGCAGATCAGGCGATGCTGTGGAATTCCGTTCTGCCGCTGCAGCTCAAGGAGGGTGTGCTTTGCGGTGTAGGAATGGCTGAAATGCATGCAAAGTTTACGTGACATTTTAAGGATGTCTTGCAGTGGGATGGTGGATTTTAAGAACCGCTTGACAACCAGATTGAACACGTGAGCCATGCATGGCGCATGGCACAACCTTCCTTGACGCAGAGCAGACACCATGTTCTTTCCGTTGTCGGTCAACATGGTTCCGATTTTCAGTTTGCGCGGAGACAGCCATCTGTCGATTTCTCTGTCATTACACTCAGAAGTTCCTCCCCTGTGTGACTACGTTCGCCAAGGCATACCAGGTGCAGAACAGCGTGACACCGTTGCGCCCTGCACATGTGATATGCCGGTCGGGTAATGGGACTTGGCACGGGGGTGGCGGCTGAGGACACGGCGGAAGAAGAGGTGGTAGAGGCGGACATCTTTGCCGGACCAAGGACGTGCAAACGTGGAGGCAAAAGCGGCGTGACCTGTCCAAGTTGCTGGTGCGGCTGTGACGGCACCACGTTTCACCCAGTGGGCCGTAAATGACATGTACTGTCCCTGACCATAGTTACAGCTCCACACGTCGGCGCTGCCGTGCACTTTGGCAGAGACCGACATGCTCAAAGACTGGCCCACCATGTCTTCTACATGTGAATGCAGGGCTGGCACTGCCTTTTTGGCGAAGAAATGACGGCTTGGCACTCTCCACCGCGGCGCGGCACAAGCCATCATTTCTCTGAAAGGTGCTGAGTCCACCACTTGGAAAGGGAGGGACTGCAGCACCAGCAACTTGGACAGGAGGACGTTCAGCTTTTGCACAGTCGGGTGCGTGCTCGCAAACTGTTGTCTCTTGGAAACGGATTCCAAGAAAGACTGCTGACGGAATCCGTGAAGAGGAGTAGCAGGAGAAGGAGCATCTGAACGAGCGGAAGATGCCAACGAGCGACAACTCCCCTCAGCAGAGGTGTTGGAGCCTTGACTGGCTGATGGAGGGCGATTGACGTCGGGTGACGGAGCAAGTAACGGAGCGGGTGATGGAGCGGGGGCTGGGGCGGGCAGAACCGCCGTATCTTTATCACGGTTTTCCCAGGCCACCAAATGGCGACGCTGCATATGCTGCCGCAACGCTGTAGTCCCAACATGGGGCCCCCTGGCCACGCTTGACTTTCTGGCCACATAGTCGACATACGGCTACGTTTACTTCCTCGGGGCGGCTTGACGAAAAATTGCCACACCGCCGAGTAGGAAACTTTGCCCCCCCGATACTCCTCACTGGCTGACTGCTGCTTCCTCCGTGCACACCGGCACCACTACTGGCCGTGGTGGTAGGCTGCAGTGGAGCTGGTGCTCTACTCCGTGGCCGTTTGTCTCCACTGACACTGCTGCGACCCTGCTGCCTCCTGGGCAACCCACCGACTGTTTTGCTCGCTGCCAAGCTGCCACCCTCTTCTCCTGATGATGCGGAAGAAATTGCCTGATGACGACGAGGCTGCCAAGTGCGATCAACCTCCTCATCATCAAGTAGGGTCTCCGCCTCACTACTAGCCCCCTCGGCTGCGTCTGGGTCAGGAGACAGACCTGTCTCTAGACCGGCTACCGAGCCACTCTCCTCGCCACTACTTCTTCGCCTGGCTGCTGAAAAGGCGGATGTCTCCCCCCGTTCCTGACCGCCCTCTGTTAGCTCTTCTCACACTGTACAGTGGGGCTGAGCCCACAGCATGCGATACTTCGCTTGGTGAGGGAACACCAAAGGACAGGGGCAGGTAGAGGACACGTGATTTCAGTGGGCTGGTCCCGGGCCATGCCAACTAACGGTTGTGTCTGACGTACCCACCGACCGTTGGCTGTAGGTGTCAGAGGTGACCTGGGAAGAGGAAGACGACCGAGCCAACCAATCGACGACGGCAGGGTTGTCGGTGGAGACACGACCGCTGGATGACACCGGGAGCACTGGCCTCTGGCTGCGAATAGTGCTGCCTCGACCCCTTCCTCTGCTGCCACGTCTGCTCGCTCCTAAAACATTGCCTCCTCTGCCACTCCTCTGCATGTTGTCTGACATACTCTTTAATTAAACGATTTATGTGTCCCTGAGTAACAATTCTGTGTCCCTGAGTAACAATTCTGTGTCTGTGCGAGTAACAATTCTGTGGCCCTAAGTAACAGTTCTGTGGCCCTCAGTAACAATTTCTGTGTCCCTGATTAACGTTTCTGTGGCCCCAAGTAACAGTTCTGTGGCCCTCAGTAACAATTCTGTGTCTGTGCGAGTAACAATTCTGTGGCCCTAAGTAAAGTTTCTGGGGCCCTGAGTAACCATTATCTGGCACTCAGTAACAATTCTCTGGCACTCCGTAACAATTCTGTCTGTCCCTGAGTAAAAATTCTGTGGCCCTAATTAAAGTTTCTGTGGCCCTGAGTAACAATTCTCTGGCACTCCGTAACAATTCTCTGGCACTCCGTAACAATTCTGTCTGTCCCTGAGTAAAAATTCTGTGGCCCTAATTAAAGTTTCTGTGGCCCTAAGTAACAATTCTCTGGCACTCAGTAACAATTCTGTCTGTCCCTGAGTAACAATTCTCTGGCACTCCGTAACAATTCTGTCTGTCCCTGAGTAACAATTCTCTGGCACTCAGTAACAATTCTGTCTGTCCCTGAGTAAAAATTCTGTGGCCCTAACTAGCGTTTCTTTGTCCCTAAGTAAAGTTTCTGTGGCCCTCAGTAACAGTTCTGTGTCTGTGCGAGTAACAATTCTGTGTCTGTGCGAGTAACAATTCTGTGGCCCTAAGTAAAGTTTCTGTGGCCCTAAGTAACAATTCTCTGGCACTCAGTAACAATTCTGTCTGTCCCTGTGTATGAATTCTGTGGCCCTAACTAGCGTTTCTTTGTCCCTAAGTAACAGTTCTGTGGCCCTGAGTAACAATTCTGTGTCTGTGCGAGTAACAATTCTGTGGCCCTAAGTAACAGTTCTGTGGCCTTCAGTAACAATTCTGTGTCTGTGCGAGTAACAATTCTGTGTCTGTGCGAGTAACAATTCTGTGGCCCTAAGTAAAGTTTCTGTGGCCCTAAGTAACAATTCTCTGGCACTCAGTAACAATTCTGTCTGTCCCTGAGTAACAATTCTCTGGCACTCAGTAACAATTCTGTCTGTCCCTGAGTAACAATTCTGTGGCCCTAATAACGTTTCTGTGGCCCTAAGTAACAATTCTCTGGCACTGAGTAACAATTCTGTCTGTCCCTGATTATGAATTCTGTGGCCCTAACTAGCGTTTCTTTGTCCCTAAATAAACGATTCTGTGGCCCTCATTAACAAGTCTGTGTCCCTGAGTAATGGTTCTCTGTCCCTAAGTAACTTTTCTCTGTCCCCAATTATCGTTTCTGTGGCCCTAACTCTGTCCCTGTCCCTAGTACAGAGCGGTCTGCCTCTGTTCAATAACTGCAGGCAAATGAAGAATTCCAAAATGGCCGCTATTTATAGCTCGACCATTACACAGTGCTGGCTGGCTGGCTGCTGATAGGCTGATGCGATCACATGTAGTTGAGGAATGCATTATGGGTCAGCGTGCCTTCCCAGACATCCCCGCTCCGTCGCCGCACATGTCAGCCGCCATTTTCTGAAAAATTTCGATTCGCGCGTCCGAATTAGGCTATTTTTCGGATTCGAAATTTTTCCGATATTCGACTCGAATTCCACTTCGGATACTTCGATTCGCTCATCTCTAGTCAAAAAGAGAGAGA